ATATCCCTAGAAAGAGATAAACACTTCATTGTCGTCGCCAATACTAATTTATAAATAATTGCAAACAACTGTAACAGACGCACTCTCTTGAAACATATTTAGGCATAAAAACTGTTATGTTGCACGAAATAAAAGGGAGCAAAAATCTAAGATCGTGCACTCAACTTCTCTTTCGACTTCGACGACGAAGCCACTGCGGCGGTGCCTTTCACCAAAAAATGACGATGTTGGTCTGGGTCCGCCTTGCGGCGGGCCCCAGTTTGGTTTGTGAGACCCCTAGATACGGATGACATTTGACTGCAGTATGAGCGATATTACGTCTACACGTACGTGATCGAACAACGCAACACAACAATTTAATGCGGACGAGCGCAACAACAATTAAATTTCGTAACTTCTAAAGTACAACAATGAATTGAGGCGCGAATATGGTTGATATGAAATGGAACAGCAAAAGAAAATGTCGTAACTTCTAAAGTACAACAATGAATTGAGGAGTGAAATGGTTGATATGATATAGTTGAATTGATTGATCTTCATAAAAAAATGACGATGAAATGGCAAGGCGATCAAGGGACGCAACAGAGTAAAGGGAACAACCAGGGGATCAACCCACAATGTCCGGACGTGGAAAGCAAAAAAATGAAGGGAAGAGAGAGTGTCACGCGCTGTTCGCGCGCCTTTTATATTCCCTCCGCCACCGCGTCTGAACATGTCAAAATGCGCTATAACGAAGATGAACAAATTTGGACATGTTAACACGTGACAACAGGATTCTCTAACATGCCCCTCCTCCACGAGGAGCTGCACCACTCAGCTCAATGGCGGCCGGAGTAGTAACAGTAATTAGCGTGTGGGAATTTCCCATTTCGGAAGGAGCCACGTGCTCCTCTGCGTTGTAACCGCTTACGTTCTTGACGGAGATATTGCCCTTGTGAGCATAACAAACATGTGATGCGTGAAATGCTTTAGAATATCTCATGAATTCCTGCAAAGCATCCTCAGAGTACAGATGATTTTCCTTGGAATTCATGTTAGTGATCGTCTTTTCAAGCAATTCCTTTGGTGAGAAATCTGCCGTGGGCAGACCATGGAATACATAGGCAAAATCCAATAGATATGACACTATTGGGTCAGCGCCGTACCAGGCGCGAGGAGCCGATGCTGAGATAGATGAAAAATTTCCTCGTTATTCTCCGGTCTTATTTTGGCTGCCTCTTTAGCAGGGTTCGGTACCTTGCTCCACGTTTGAATTTACACGATTAAAGAGTCATTTTTGCAAGCGCGTAAACTATAGTTTTCGTTTTATCGAGTGTGTGAACAGGCTTTGATATGTGTTAATCATGGTACCAAGGAAACGAGAAATCCTTTCGGTGGCATTTTAATCTTCTCAGATAACTTCATGAGTAACACAGAGTAGTCTATCAATTTCAATGATTCACCACTCTGGTTTGGAATTATGATTCCTGCTTCCTTTGCTCTATGAACGCAATAGCTTACTATTGTTGCATGGAGAATGGTATCGTTGCAGCCCGTCCACCCATGATGCATCCATCAGTTGTAATGGCAGAGTTAGCATATCCTCTCCGATTAATAGCTAGGGTCAGATTCCTCCATACCTTACGTAGACTGAGTTTCTTCTCTGCTTTACACATATTAATCAAATAATCTGAGAATTGAAACATAAGCTTTCGAGGCATGTTCACAGACCATTGGGACACATCCTGAGATGTGGCAATACATTTGCCTCCAGGCAGCAGCTGTGAAGCAATTCCATGAGTAATTTATTCGAGATGTGCTGCATGTCGATGTGTAGAGACTGGGGGCCGTAGGCAATGTCCGGATGTCAAAAGATTTTTGTGTTCTTACTTGGCTGCTCGCCTCCACAGCTTTCTATCACCATGCTAAAGTCCTTATCACAGCGAAGCTCTTCGAGCCATTTTGACTCAGTTATTTTTGAAACAACTCTTTCTTCTCTGTATGGGTAGGCCATGTTGTGGATGTTTTAACAACGCCTCGAGATAATGCGTCTGCGACTGCGTTTAGCTGATCCTTTGATATATTCAATTCACATTCTTACCTCTGAATCTCAGGCCCGCCGTAGTCATCAGGGCGACACGGTTCGCGGTCTTGAATAGTGTCTTCAGTGCGCATATGGTCCGTTCCGACCACTGTTTTCCACTCCATACACAAGGTAATGAAACTTTTTTAGCGATTTATATGACGGCTAAGCCTCTTGATCTGTGATGTGATATTTCCGCTTCTTGCACCTCGAGAACGGTTTCGACGCGAAATGCAGCGGGTGGAGATATCCGTCGTCACTTTCTTGCGCAAGGACCGCGCCTACACCCACACTGCTTGCATCTGTATATATGTCGAATATGGTTGGTTGAATGACAGCCAAAAGACAATGTTCGTAATTTCTAGTACATAATGAATGTAGGGTGAAAATGGTTGACATGAATAGTTTGAATTGATTGATCTTCATTAAAAAATTGACCATGAATGGCAAGGTGGAGGGACGCCAACAGAATGAGGGACAACCAGGTCAACACAATGTCCGGACGTGCGAAAGCACAAAATAAGGAATGGAGAGTGCTCACGCGCTGGTCCGCCGGCGCTTTTATTTCTCCGCCCCGGTCTGAACTGTCAAAATGCGCTATAACGAAGATGAACAAATTTGGACATGTTAACAGGTGACAACAGGATTCTCTAACACCGACTTAATCTTACGAGATTTAAACAGCTATTGTCAGGCTCAGCATGGATATTCTCCCATGGAATAGATTGAGGACCTCTGAGCACACCGTACATGGATGCGTACATTCGCTGTAAATTCTGTATATCCTAATGAAATCAAGGTTTTTTACATCGGCAGTGTCGTAAAATAACAATCATAATTCTCCAAGAATGGCAAGGGTGACCGTACACCATTCTGGGACACACTCCTGTTGCACGAGCATCTGCTCAGAAAGAAGTTTCCAACTCTAATGCACTTGCGTCTATCATTCAAGTGTCGGCGCTGACAATCGAAAATGAGTCTCGCAAAAATTTTCGGCTTTCTCGAGATGCTTTCAGTGTTCGCTGCTTTTCCAGATAGTGACGGAATCATTCTTTCGTTTCGGTAGAAGTTGGAATATTGTATTTTGGTCTAGTGATTGAATGTCATCTATTGCTCTAAGCGCAACAGGCTCCGGATACAGCCGTCGCTGCATGACTCGTTTTTCTGTTTTTTTTCTATGTGTCGATAAGAGGACGTGACTCGGATAGATATCGTTTGAGGATGGCATAATGATGATTCATGAGTGAAGTTTTACTCATCTGCCCCTTATCAGTCAAATGATGTTACTTCTTGCTGTAGCAGTTTGAGAACCACAAGTGATCACCGACTCAGGAAAAGAACTACGAGGCAAGAACACAAGGCTGTCTCGCAAGTGATTTAGTCTTTCCGCAGCAAATACAAAGCCGAGCGCAGTTTGCTGCCCGCCGATGCTGCGAAAGGAGAAGCTCCCGAGACCTGCTTAGGGTTTGGAAAAGTCTTAGTGTTCTTTTCTACTGCGTGACGATCTGCCAAACTCTCAATTACGAATTTCGAAGTGGAGGTTGCTTTCCTATGCGCGACTACAATTCTCTTATTCTATTCCACAGTCATGAAAATCTTCTGAGCTTCGAGTCGTCAAAGCTGTAAGCCGTACTTACCGCCAAATACGATTTACATGAGTTTACCACAGGAAATTATTTCCTCGCTTGGGATTAATAAAACAGCGGATGAAAAGTGAGCTGTGTGGGCTACACAAATACTACTTTTGATCCCGCTTCTAATTATGGTTTAAACGCACTGCTTAGTGATGTAGCTGAAATGCAATGAAATAACACAGGCTCTCCACCACGTTCAAAACTAGTTGTACCGACAACGACTTCAACTATTCCCAAAAATGTACACAAAAGAGGAGTAGAATCTTTCTAGAGAATTTTCAGTTCTCTTTAAATATTTCATCTTCTTAAAGACTTCGACTTCTTCTTTATTCCTCTTGAAAAGCTACAAATAGAATAGTCATGCATTGGGGTTTTCACAATAAGAGGAGGCTACCCTCTTCAAGGAAGGTGCCACTCTAAGTCAACCCTTGAAATTCTTGTAAACCATATTTTCGCTCAGTGAAAGGTTTCTATAGCCAGACAAAAAACATCTGCAGAGGACGTGAAAAGTAGTGGTATACAACTGAGAGTCCTAGAAATTCGTGCTGTCTGTGTGCGAAAGGAAAACT